TTTGCCCAGGCACGCAACATCATATTAGCCAGCTACTAAATCAATCATAGCCACTATTAAAAAGTCTGCTGATAGGGGTTAGTGGAAATGAGCTCTTGAGTCTGGGGCTTGTAATGGCATGGTTACCTTTCTTCCATCAATCACTGATGCATCTGAGATGACCATTGGTCATGGTTAGCTGTGGAGGACTCGAGTGAATTACATTGCTATTTACACTAAATAATGATGCTTCCCACGCAAAGAATAATCATGTAGGTTATACAACACCGCGATATGCGACTAGTTTGACTACATCAAGTGACTTCTCGTCCTGGAGGCGAAATCACATTGAGTCTGAGTTCACTTCAAGGAATCGATCAATAAAAAGAGAACAAGAAAATTGAAACAGGGAGAAGACGACTGCAAGAGAGAGAGAGAGAGAGAGAGAGAGAGAGAGAGAGAGAGAGAGAGGTCAGTACTTCTGCAAAGATGAAAATGAAGGGAACACAATGTTATTGGCACATAATTTTGTTGAATGTCAGAACAAGATCTGTACACTACACTCAGTAGCAGATTATGTATACCCTGCCACAAACACCACAAATCCAAATGACAAGCAGCAATATTTGACAAAACATTTCCAGAAACCATTAAAAAAATCCCCAGAATCACAACAAACACACGTATCCACTTCCTCTAGAAAGAGGAATTATGTTACATTGATTAAAACTCATGAATCAGATCTATGCTGCTTTCTGTGCAATGACACCTACTGTGTACATTCATTGTATCACTGTACACAGATCTGAATGTAAAAATGTGTTTGGGGAGTAATTTAACCCTTTCTGTATGGATCAACACTAGGCCTGAATTGAAAAGCTATATACCCGAGGGATGTTTGGGTAAACTAGTGAGTTCATGCATTTGAATGCAGACAATGCTGTTGTTTGCTATAGCTTCAATTGCAAGAGCACTTCATTTCCTCTAGCCTGTCTTCAGCATATAGAATCATGAAACAGAACCTACATCCTTCAAAGTCTGTACAGTTTGCTCTATGATATTGTATCTATCTATCTACTAATTTTACATGCACACTTATCCTGATAAATCAGTTCAGCGCCAGCTCCTAAAAATAGCTAATGTAAAAGCTATTTCCTTCACTCATATGGGAAACGATTTTGTCTTTATTAAGAGTATAACTCAAAAATGTAACATAAGATAAATACTAGTTTAAGAGAAGCAAATTAAAGCAATATTTCAGTGAATATACAATTTTTTTCAAGTCACCCATCATGAGTATTTCCTTATAATAACAGCTTCAGCCACTACTAATATGCATTTACTACTCATCCTTCCTGTTTTGTCTTTAGACTTTCTCTTTCAATGAATGTATCTTCAACGATTTTTCATTTTTTTAAGAAATGTGTGCATTTCTGAACAATTCTTGTGAAGAAACGACATACTGACTGTTATGACAGATAATTATGAGTAAACACTGATAGTTGGCTATCAAAGGAAAGTAATGTCATTTGAAATTGCAATAACTTAGCATGTCAAAACAGTCTCTGATTTGTTTTAAACAGTGTGAATAAACCCACACAACTTGTCATTCCATGCAGGGAGTTTGTATAATAAAAAAAACCTCAGTGTTTAGTTGTATAATTTGCACAACATATCTTGAGTGCTTTACATTTAAACAATGGCGTGAATTAGTGTGCAAAACTTTGCAGCAGTTCTAAAGCGATCTGTTTATGTCAAGTTCAAAATGCATACACACACAAACATTTCCAGGACAACAGGACAAAGAAAATCATCCATCTCTTGCATAACTGAATGATGTCTTTCATGAGAGAGGGGGGATAGAGAGAAAGAGAGAGAGAGTGAATAGGGTTAGGAATGCTGACAACCACCAAAAGAAAGACGGACATTCCCTGCCAAAATGTGAAGTCTCATTATCCATGTAATCATTAAATTATCTCCTTAACAACAACCTTGAATGTTTTCAGTCAAAAGTGTCAGTTAAATGTAATGCATTTGCATAATAAAAAAATGCTCCTTTCACTATTGGACATCTGTAAATGATCAGAGTAAATACAACTATTGACCTAGAATGCAAATTACTCTTACCTGACATTATGTAAATACTACCACAAACTTACACAAAATTATAAAGCAAGCACATGCACGTTTGAGTTCAGTGTGACATATTTGTCTTTGGTATTTAGTGTTGATCAATACAAACCAAAACTAGACCAAACACAGAACATTAAATGTGTCATTTAAAATCCCACAAATATATAAACTACAAAAAGAAAAAAAAGAAAGAAAAATCACAACGTAAGCACTTTAAGCCATCAGGAACACTTTTCTAGTAAATTTCACTGACTGCTAACACATGTGTTCGCTTAATAAACCCAATGCTCCTGCACAAACCACACTCATTACCCAGAATCCACTGCATACAGTGTGGCTGCAGACACAAATCAAGACCTCTTATAGCTTCCTCAAGGATACAGCCCTTAAAAGATTAGTTCACTTAAAACCTTCTTTCTTCAGTCGAAAAGAAATTAAGGTTTATGTGAAATGAAAACATTCCAGGATTTTTCTCCATATAATGGACTTCAATGGACTACTACAATGCTAAACAGTTTCAACGATCGGTCATTTAAAAAAATGAATAAAAAAGTTTAAGTTTTATCCACAAGTTTCCGAGGGGCGCTCCTGTAAAAAATAAAGTGGGTGAAACTTCCGGTGACGCGGCGGAAGTAGCATTCCAATGGTATTTTGTGTGTTAGTTAGCGAAGAGGCTAGCTGTTTTTCTGAGAATTATTTTACTATTTAAAGACGCAAATCTTTATGAGAGATGTCGTTACGGAGCTCAGGGACAACATGTGCTGTTCGCGGTTGTATGTATAACCGGACTAAACTAGTTCAGTGGCTTAAACGTGATTGTTTTGAACATAAGCTGAAAACGATATCAGAGTGTTCCTGCCAGAGCCCGTCTTTGATCCTGCCAACGACTGTAGTTTCCATCACCTCCCAAAAGACGACGAATCTTCCTGTGTACATTTGTTTAAATTCTTAATATTCTATAAACTCTCTCAGGATATGTTTGGCTGTTCGCTACTGATGTTACACCTAAACTCAGGAGTTGACAGAATACCAAATGTGCCAGTTAATGTATGCAAGTAGCACATTCATTTATAATTTTGAATAAACTACAAAGCACAATGACTAAGTGTGTATTTTTTATTTTAATTGTTTGTCAGCTCACACAACTGTCTGTCACCATGCCTTGATGAGTATTGATAATTAATAATGTTATTATAATACTCCCAATCAGCTACTGCGGAGGGTAAAGGTACTGTTATTTCACCCTTTTTAATTTTCGTTGAGGTTGTGTTCCCACATCGTTAGCTAGTTTGGATCGCTATAACTTGAATGACTGTCAACTGTTGAATGAACAAGTGTCAAGCATGTCAAGTAGCGCTTTGTTTACTTCCAACCGGAAGTCGCGCCCACTTTTGACGCAAGGCCTCATGGGGCGTAGGAAACTTGTGGATAAGCTCAAATACTCGCCTTGCTCTGTTCTGTGATGCGCGTTCGTGACTCTCCTGTTCGAACTCGTTCATCAAAATGAACAAATCTTTTTTTCGAGTCATTTCTTTCATTCAATGAACAAAATGAATGAAACGGCTCCAGTTTTTGACAGATGGGAGATTTCTAACAATTCTGACACTATCATTATATGGTCAAAATAATGCAGTCTCTGATGATAAAGCTGTGTAAACAAATTCAAGCTCCTCTAACACAGACAACACCTGCCAGTCTAAAAAACTGTGAAATGTGATTTTATAGTTTTGTTATTTACTAAACAACAACATTTGTTGGGAGGGCTAAAATCTTGGAATTACAGAACTATTTCCCTGGGAGCAAATAAAAACATTCCTGTCATATCATGCTGAGTCTGTAAGACAGCATAATTCACTCATTGTCCTGTAACAATGACAGCCTTTTGTCTGAAAGTCTTTTTTAACTGCTGAAGGCATATATCCCTTTATTAGAGTCATAACTAAATCTATAGACCTAAGACTCTATAACTAACTTGCAGTCAAAAAGGACATGGCAAGAAAGAGTGGGGTTGTCTCTTGTGCCAAATCTCTGCCAAAACTCAGTTTAAGGAAAATACAGAGGACTCAGAAAATCTGAACACAGAAAGAGTGGGGAATATGGCAAGCCAAGTTAACATGTATTCCTTAAAATTATATTTGTTTCGTCTATTTTTAACTTACTAGCAAGTAATCTAATAATGACTATCTCTGTCAGTTTCACTAGAGATATCCATTAGATGCTACTTCACTATCCTCCCTTTGCTAAAAATCGCCATTTTCAAAGTAGAAACTAAAATGCATTCCAATTGTTACAATTTTGATGAGTCAATGTATACGACATAAAAAAGCGAGTAAGTACTAGTATCCAATACATAATCACTGGTAAAGGTATCAGCAACAATACGATCATACTAGTCAGACATGAATTTGCAATGTGTTACTAGAAGCAATTAAGTTCCTTTTCATCATCGAGTAGCAAAGTAAGGATGTACAACAGTTACTAGCAAAACTGAGATAATATCACTATTGGACTAGCCTACTTATTATTTTTTTTTTAAGTACTAGTTATATATATATAAAAAAAAGATAGGCCTACTTTTTAATCTTAAGGAATGGGCTACATGTTAAATTGGCTTGCCACAAGTGAGCGTGTTTAGCTGTAGCTTTTCCACCTGCTCTGAATGATGGTGCTTTACAAAGTAAAATAACTGAAAACATCACGACCCTTTCATTAAACCGCTCCAAAGTTACCATTACTAACTTAAACTGGTTGAAAACAACATGTAGTCGCAAAAAAATAAAATCACAACACCGCTCGCCATTTAAAATGTACTGAACCAAACAGAGAATCAACTTTGCGCTTCTAGTTTGGAAACACCAGCTCAGGGGTTTAACAACAGCATATCTCACCTTGTTGTAGTTGTAGTATCCCAGGCAGTGGGAAAAATCCAGGTTCTGTGGATCTCCAGGAATAGAATTCCCTCCGGCAGACGGATAAAATACATCCATGTTCCCCCTCGGCGAAGCGCTGCTCTATCAAAAGGGCGCAATTCTTTACTTGTCCTTCAACAATCCTGACGCGATGAATGAGAGGGACGCGGTGAGCAACGCGGGTTTAACGCAGCTCACGGGAGACAGAGAAAGGGTAAAAGGGATGTTTTAGTAATCCTTTTCTATAAGCAGTGGTCGCTGGCCATAGTTTTGGGATGTTGAGGAAGGTTTGGCGATTTTCAAACTGCTCCTGCGCCGCGAGGTTCAAGCATGCTTGGAGAAGAGCAACACAAAGAAAGCCGGCAAACAGTAACTCCGTTACAATGTTCTCCGCTCAGATACACATTCACAGATACAAGATGCTGGATTTGAACAGAATGTTGTTCCCGCTCTCAGTGTTTCAAATACACCTCCATCAATCCACACTGCGTTTCAAATTAAGCGCTGACGGTCAGTTGGGAGATCTGAACACACTTTAACCTCTCAAAGCTTGGCTAATTAAACGAAATTAAGCCCTCCAGACACATAGATAATACTGTCCGATTGCACCTTTAGTCCAAGAAACTTGGGAAGCGGTGTTTACATATTCATTACAGCGCTTGAGGTACTCTGTACAGCCATGGTCTTCTGTTTACTTCAGCCAACATCAAGCTGTGATGGAGGAGCATGGGAGAGAGTGGGGCTCATTGCGACCACTCCCCGAACACCCATCGCCACTCCCCTAGAAGCCCCAGAAAAAAAAGCATACATTACATGGATGGACAATAAACACTATATTAAATTCATAATCAGAGTAATCAATAATATAACTATAACTATATATAAATATATATATATATATATATATATATATATATATAGATTATATATATTTAGCCTATATAGCCTATAACAAACACACACTCACAAATATATAAACAAAAACCTAAGTTAGATGTGATTAATAATTAATGATTAATCAATCTAACAGCACTATATATATAGCCTAGCCTATATGAGGACCTTCTCTTTTTTTTGTTTTTAGTCCTAAAACATGAAATAATTTTAATTTTAGGCAATGGGATTGTGATTAGTAAATTAGAGGAACCTTTACCTGAAGAGACTTTCGTGATTGTCTAAATTAACCACATACATTATTTTTTTAATTCCAGGGGGAAAAAATGCTATTCTAAAAAACCCATTCCCGAGAGAACTCATGGTGAATTAGCCCTCTGAGTTGACAAATTGACATCATGGCTGTACAGTTCTATTAAATATTTTCTTTTTGTTTAAAGCAGCATTCATGATGATCTTCATTTCCATTAGCTCATCCTCATCCTAAGCACCGACTCCAAAACTCAACATCACAAAATCTCTTGTAAATCCCAAAATAACAGAACATTAAACACTAACAAGTCTTCTCCTTTTCTCATCTTGTTCTAAAACATTAAATATGCATGCTGGGAACACAAAATCCTCTGCCCAGTTCCAGGCTCAAACGGGAACACGAAACTGCACTTTGATCTGAAGCAAGTAGTTTAATTAAACCAAAACAGATTATGAATTAGAATGATGACATAACAAAACATAATTGTATTGAGTCATATTAAATATAAACAGTTAAGTAAGAGAGACAACCAATATGAACCTTCTTTCAGTGCAATTCAGCATAATTTAAAAGAAGCAGAAGGGGGTTGAACAGAATATTCTATAAGCACATTATTTGCATGTGAATAAGCAGCGTTCTTGCTCAGCTATCCTCTTGATCTTTTTATGAGGAAGGAATGCTTTATGAAAAAAGTAGCACACTGCATTAGTAGTGTAGTTCTTACTAAATGCAAGGTGGCTGTGGGGCAATTGGAAACAGAGAGGAAGTAAAAGACCTGTCTCATATTCCTGTAGCCAAATCGAACATGTTTTGTTGAAGCAGCTTTCTAGCATTCTCAATAATGACCACCAGGGGCTACAGACTATACAGCAGACAATTAGAACAGTAATCTGAATATTTAAAAAGTTATTTGTTACTCTTTCTCATTTCACACACTGAAGCTGTCATTAGACTTGCAATATGGATTTACAACATTCATAAACGTATATAATGCAATGACAAACACAAGTTATTTTTTATGATTTGTGCATTAAAACAACATTATATGTTGCTTGCAGTGCCACAAATAAAACAAAAATCTTTGTATTTTTGATACCTGAAAGGTTACTTGAATCTTTTTGAAAATGACATGCATGTATAGTCCATTATAGGCTAGAATGAGTTCTGTAATCCCATGGGTTTGAATCAGAGAACTATAGATGAAAGTAACTCCACCAGCAAAACAAGAGGCTCAGCTGGAAGGTAAGGGACAATCATGATTGCATTTGCATTCACAGTGTTCCCTTTGAAAACATTCACTTTTGTGCAATGCATAATCCTATATTACGCAATACAACCAAATATTTAATTAAGATAATTTTTCACATTTCAAATTATCTACAAGGCCCAAGGATTTTACAAAATGGATAGAAATGCATGCAATATATATGCATATCATTCCTTCTTCTTTCTCCCCCTCAGACAGACACTCATACAATAAACATGCAGATGCATGAACAGACAGACAAACACACAGGCTCATGCGTTATCTACAGACACACACACCGACGATCAGATATGGAGGGTGTTCCACATTCCAAGTTGTTATTACGTTTGATACGTGTGGTGATGAATGCGCCCGATTCGATGTGTGCAGGGCATCTTTGATTCTCTGTTATTATTTATTTGTGTGTGTAATGCTGTTTGCCCATGTAGCAGGAGGGAAACTGAATTAATTTCCTCTCTGTGGGTTTGGTGTCAGCGTGCACAGATGAATTATGCCGCACTCACATGTCATTTCCTCTATACACCCAACAACATTGTCACCATTTGGTAACCTGAAAACAAATTATCCCACTCTGGCACAAGTTCAAATTCAATTATAGCAGCCCACAGTAATTATGTGGAGGTATAAAAGAATAATAAATGCAAAATAATTAATTAACCTAATAATCTTTATTTATGTGCCCCTCATATTAAGCCTGTGATCTCTCCATTGTGGCGGTTTGCTCTAAATTAGACCGAACAGCTGTGGATGTAGAAGAAGAGGCATCAGTGGCATCAATAATATTAAATTCTCCTGTGCTTATTATAAAACAAGGCCAAAGACTTCACATAATGCAAATCTTTTAGCTGCATTTTTATAGGCCAACCTAATATGATGTGATAATTACACCTTTCACAATATAGTTACAAAGTCAATCATGTACTGTATATTGCCTTATGATTTATATTTGATAGCAGCCTACACATCCTTTCGCATTTGTAAAAAATGACTCTTGTCATCTGGGCCTCGGACCTGTGACCCACAGCATTACTTTTCCACACAGAGCTCCAAATTATTCTCTGCTACGAATCTAAAGAAGAGCGTCTTCTGCTGTGACCTTGGCAAACTGACAAATCAGCTTTGCTCCACTGTGTATAGAACAGATACTCAAGATTCAGCCACAGTCTTCTTAGAGATCAAGCTTATTTCCAATTATACATGGATTCATATCAGTAATATTCTCAGGCTGTTGGGTCTGTGCGATTGGCTTGGCCTTCAATCTTCATTATCAGACACTGAGGTCTTTGATCTCTCTTTCCTTTGTAATGCAATAAAGTCGAATTGTCATTGAACAAAGTGTTGTTCGGCTGGTGTCACATGTCCAAAAGCCCTTCAGAAAAAGAGTCTGATACATTTGCTATCATCAATATGCAGTCATATAACCAAAGGCAGGGTCTAAAATATTTACCATGTTTATTTTATAAGGGTACACCGCAGAGTTGAGTAAGAATCTAAAAAGGTAACTGGATATTAAATGATGTATCTCCCATGTCACTGAGATCACTGATGTGCTTGGGTGTAGCTGATTTGTGAGTTTCTATTTTTAAACTGACCCCCCACCCCACAAGGTTATGGAAGCTTGAGTTTATGAAAATGTAAAATGCAATTACATATATTTTATATAAAAACTATTTTTAAAAACCTGGTGGACTCTAAAACTGCAATAAAATAAAAGCAAAAAATCTGAACAAGTTGTGTTTCAAATTTTAGGTTGATATCTCAAAAAAGGAGCTTTCAGGAAGATTTTGTTTGGGCACAGTACACATTTTTTTCTCTAGACCAGACTCCATTACTGCCCATATAAGGGCGCCTACATTTCCATGTGTTTTGAGTGATCTGAAACATTATTTCCACAATTTTCATCCTATCCAGAAGTAGTAAGGGAAGTTTGGCATATTTTGATATGAATTCAACCTCTAATAATCATAAAAAGAGCATGCATGTGAGTTATGCTCGCTGCCACATCACAAAGGGTGAATCTATATTTTGTATTTCTTCATATTTAAAACATTTTCAGACCTTTTTTTCTTAAAAAAATAATGGATGCTATCTTTTGAACTATTGGTATGAAACAAACTGAGTTTCTACCATTCTTTCATGATTTTCATGTTCATCACTGTTTCAAAATAAAGGTCTTAACACGCGTAAGGAGTATGAAAATATTCCTGTTGAAATCTGTTTTCTAAATATCTCAGTTTGATACACAAAAGAATGACAAAACCGTTTAGTATGAAAAATCAACAAAAAAGTAAGGGGGAAATTTATATTTAGCAAAAATTTCCATGGTGGAAAACCATCTAAACATTTTGACCAATATGGTCAAAACCACTTTTTATTTTGGTGGCATTAGCCAATTTACTGACAATATATGTTTTGAAGCACAAATTAAATGTTCTTTTTGACTTTTTACATTTTGCAGACATGCTATTGAGTTCTGATTTTCCAGCAAACAGTTGTGACAATTGAACTTACAGTTTAGAGAATTTTAAGACTGCTTCGGAAAAGGTGCCAAAGCAATTGAGGGAAAAAAACTGTTATCTGTAAGAATAACAAGGCTATGTTGGATCAGAGGAGGCTAAAGTTACTCTACCCTCTACAAATGTTGTTTTCATGAGATTCGATTCTCTACCACCCTCACCCCCTCCCTTCTACATCATGGCTGATACTGCAATATGCAGTGTGGATATGCTGTCTTTGCATTTTACGTAGAGGCCTCAGGGGCCATCACCTCTATTACAGCATTCAGTAATGATGAGAGAGATAAAAGAGGAAAAGTGCTATCTTTTTCTCACTACCCCCTTTCCTAATTTATCTTTCTCTCTCACACTCTTTCTCTGCTATCACAGTTGCATTGTTGTATTTGCACTGTTTAAATATACTGTAGGTAATGATTTGCTGCAATGTTGTCATCTAGTGATATGGCCATACATAAGAAAGATCTCATATGGATTTAAGAATTCATTTTCTGACTCAATTATAGCTCTACAAAATAAGGCAACATTCCTTAACAATGTTCTTGCCATTGCTCAATAAACAAGGTTTAAAAACAAATAAAACTGCTACAGTAGAAAATGGAGGAAATAGTTCAGCTATTTTCAAAGTACTGTAAATTTGACTTTTTTCAAAAGGTTACTTTTTCACAACCAATTGCTACATTGCTGGAAATAATCAAACATACTAACCTAAGTGTCCCATCTTGCACTCCTTCTTGTAGTTCTAGTGCCAGAAGTCTGATTAATATAGTGAATTTGTTTATCTGAGCAAGTCCCCTATGGTCCACTCTTAAATTCGAAAGATCGGAAAGTCTGATTCAAGTGAATTGGTTCGT